GTAGATTCTATCCCTGCATCATTTCAGTTTATCTTTTTATGTAACTTGATATACTAAATACAAATTCCTTTTTTTTGTTTGGTTTGGTTTTTGTTTTAAGGTTGGTTTTTTTTATTTCCTAAGCACAGATTCCTGGAGGAAAGGACAAACAATTTAATAAAGCATTTTACAGTATAACTTATATGTTTCTCATTCTCTTCCTCTGATATTAAAAACATCACTATACCCCAGTCACATTTACATTTCTCCTTCTTAACACATAATAAGCTTAACATTTTAACCTCTATTTCTTTTTACTAACTAAAGAGGCATAAATAGCAATGAAACAATACAGAATGTACAAAAAACTACTGTACAAATAGCAATTATCCTACAGATCAATAAGTTTTGCATTGAATTGAGTTTGCATTCTTCAGAAAGATCATATTTTTGACAAGAGTGCATCTAAGAAAGCAACAATTTTAAATACAAAGCAGCAATACAGTAAGTTGCTGAAACAGATTTGACTCTGCTGTAGTAAAAGACTCCACTCACAGAACAAACAGGAGGTTTCATATACAATCTTTAATGGGAAGAGTCCTTTAAATGACATTTATGAACAGAATGACACAATCAAAGTTTAATTTCTTCCTACAACTTCAGAAGAATAAGTGGAGCATCTCATGAAGAATCAGTAACTTTCAGCATTTCCTCAAAGTTATGTGATATGATAGGAATGTAGGTAAGAAGAATTTTTCAGAAACTTAAGAGCAAAAGGTACAATGAATAGAAAAACCATATAATTTACTATGTGATAGCTACAAATTAGACAAAGACATTGCTCCTTAAAATAAGAAAATCAGAACAGGTTAAGGACTTCAGAACAGGAATTACAACTCTGCCCTACTCTGCCCTCACATCAGTATGTAACAGTTAAGAAAAAAGCTTTTACATAAAAGACTACTCATGGCTGCAATCTATTGGTTTAAGCAGTTGCAAAGAATAGAGTAATGGGATAGTGCAAGATTAAAATTAATAGCAAATAAAAATCCAAGTAAAACAAAAAAATCACTGTCCCAGCAGCTTTTGATAAGCGTAGTTTAAAAACATCTTTTCTTCCTTAAGCAAAATATGGTGAAAGCAGGAGAACTGTGTTTTTATCCAAGTATTACTTGTCTGTTTTCCAGAACAACTAAGCCTGTATAGAGTGCAATGGATTAAGTTCTTAGGCACTGGGACTGTTCTTGGTCTGTGTACTTACAGTGAAGAGTAATTGAGGCCAGTCCTTAACTAGGGTGTCAGGGTAATATGCAATACTGAGTCAGTGGTGTGCAGACAGTAAATACAAACAAGCAAGATGTTGCCATGTTAACATACCTCTTGTATGGAGCGAGCTGCTGGCTTGTCTTGATGATTGGCCAGTATTAAAAACGGCAAAGTACATAACTGTGGGTGCTGGAGAGCAGAATGCAGTTCATTCCTAGCAGTTTCTAGATCATCTTCAGAGGAGGCACTGTCTAATACAAATATTACCCCTTGGGATCCTTGGTAGTAACGATTCCAATATTTCCTGATATTGTCAGTCCCTTTCAAGACAATAATAAGAATTAAAACAAGTATAGTTAAAAAGATTTAACACTTGTATCTGAAAATAACCCTTCTACTTAGAACAATCAAAGAAATGGACTACATTTTTTCTCCTAAATATACATTATTGAAAGAATAAAAAGGAAAAAAGCAACTATAAATCCAACACACAGACAAACATCAAACTAACATTGTTTAAATAAGGAATGAATTTGACTCAATGCAGTTATCTCTGAATGTTTCTGCTCCATTAATGAGTACTGGCAGAACTACCATGTTTCCAGTGCCACCTAGCCTAACCCTATACCTTCTCACTGAAATATCTTGGTTTTAATATATAAACCTTTGCCCATTCTTTTTTCCTTAGTCTTGCAGCTCCTTGCCATAACCTGTAGCTTTTGTCATGACAGTTCCTAATTTCTGAGCATGATAAGGTCTTCCAGTTAATCTCCAAACTATAAGGTAAACACTTCATAACTGGACAAAAAGTGTCAGGAAAGCCTATTAAAGTTGTAATTAGACACTTAATGAGGAGAATGGTGATACAATAGAGTTGAACAGTGACAACATACAAATACATTAATTTCAACTGCTTTTGTTCTGTGTCAACCACACTAAAGATTCTGGAAGAGCCCAACAGTAGACACATGAGTGACTATACAAGCTTATGTGTCACAGTAATTTTTAGGACACAGTTCAGTGGCACTCAGCCATCTCAAGAGAAGCCAAGCAATATAGAATGTTTTTGTCTCCCCTGGAGAGCAGCATATGTTTGTAACATTGAGGTAGGGAAAAAAAAAAGTATTTGACAGCTGTCAAACTATCTAAACTATGATTCGGATATGGGCTATTCTTCATATGTCTGAATCTGGCACTATACTCATGGGGACTAACACTAAAAAGTGAATAGCAACAGCAATACTCTAGTAGAAAGCTTGATGTATCTGCAAGACAGTGATTCACAGAAATGTGCTGATAATAATAAAACTCCATTTTTAGCGAAACAAAACAACTACACAAAAGTTCTGACCAAAATGTAGGCACAAAATGATAATTCAATGCAACGTAATTACTATATCATTGATATGACACTTAAAATATTCACTTAATTTGTACACTCTGCAACAGAAAAGACAGAAAAGACTAAACAAAGTTGAAGAAATCAATGTCTAAGAAGGAATTTACACCATACACTTTAGGCATCCAGCTCAGTATATTCATATCTCGCTACATGGAGTTACTCCCTTCTCTGTACCAGCCACACCAGAACCTTTAGCACTCAGTTTCTGTATTCTGTACCTAGCACAATTTAGGTGACTAATGAATGTTGTGAACACGTGTTTTCCTATATAGGACATTGAAGTCAGACCTGAACATTGTTTTTCTGCAAGAGATCTAAAGAGATGGTTAAAGGTAAACGGTCATAGGATTTAGTCAAGACCTTGCTTAATTTCTCTATTAATCTAAACACTCATAAAGTAACAACACAATTTTATCAACTTCTGAAGATCAGCATGACTTATACAGAAGGGGGATTGCATTGAAAGCTAATTCAATGTTTCTGTACCACCATAATATCTATCAATTGTACTTGTAAAGAATTTCATAGCATCTGTTAGATGTCCCAGTCTTTCCAAACAGCTGTTTGTAACAGAACCAAGTAGAGCAAGTTGCCAGAGGGACAGTATTTATATAGCCACACACAGCAGCGTCACAGGCTTCTGAAGTATCGCATTACTTTAAAAACTGGTAGAGAATCATTTTCAATGAACTGAAAGGCCAACATCATGATTGGTTCTTTGAAAGTCTTTTTTTTCCTCCTAGCAATATAACTTCTGTCATATGTACTCTAACCTTCATCCAGCTACTTTTCAATCACATGTTGCTGCCAGACCCTGAGTCTTATCTCTGTAACTGTACTATTTCTAAGGAGAAAAATTGTGTGGAGAACTGCAGAGCATTTGACCTCTGATTTGTTGACCTTATGCCCTCTCCTTTTGGTTCAGGTTCTTTCAGCTAGTGAACTTTCTCCACATCAACTGTCCCCAAAGAAACACCATCAAAGTATAGTAGTCCTTTTTTCTTCAGCTCTGGACAGTAACCATGACATAGTTCTAAGAATCACCTAATAATGCCCAACAAAATTTGGTATTTCCTTCAAGATTTTCCATTAGAATAGTGACCTGCTCTAAACTTGCATATGCTTCAATTCTGATGAGGTTTAAGAATAAAAAAAAATTGTTCTAAGCAGACAAGAAAGACTGAGAAAGTCTACCTCGGGGTGCCATTTTAACTCATTTTTCTGGAAAATGTACTTGAAAAATAATTATTGGCATCAATAACCTATCAGCAACCAGAAATCGCAATTTCTACAAGACAAATAAGCTTATATTCTTTTGCCTTAACTCTTCATATCCAGGGAGCACAACCTGCTCTCAGCTTCTTTCTCCAGAGCATTAGATAGTATGTTGTGATGCTATCCTAGGCAGGAAAAGCTGGCCTGTGAATAATGATCCAGCCATTGCACTTCATGGTATGACAAATTTAGTCTTAAAGAGCAAGTAGATGCTTTTATAAGTGCAGTTTAGCACAGACTATCCTATGAATAATTCTTTTCCTCTATTCCAAAGGTTTCTAAGACAGGGAAATCCAAAGTCTGAGTTCTTTGACAATCCAGAATGGAATGTGCATCCATTAAACATCCTCAGGCTCTCAGAGACTACTGAAATAAAACCAGAAACTTAACTAGTACCCAAAATGTCCTATCAAACAATAGTAACACATGAGAGAAGCATTTAGGTTTGTCAGCCTAATACCTTGTGTTGCTCTAACAGCTTTGCAGGCACATGGTTGTTTCTTCAATCACTTCATGCCTAAACTAAGTTTGTTTTTTTTTTTTTAAAAAGAAAACACTCAGGTAAAAATCTCAAAAGCATCAGAAAAACATAGCAATCATTCATATTAGACCTAGGAAATGTGTTATATGAGAGGTTCACTGAAATGTGACATTCAGTGTAGTATTTTGCTCAGAGACAGGAAAGAGCCATGACTTGTGCCTGGGCATGCGATTTGTTTCCCTCAGCAACAAACCTACAGAAGTCCAGTGATGTGACTAAAACATTCAATTTACAAATAAATTGGGAAAAAACCCAACCAACCAAACAACCCACCACAATGTAATCATGCTATTTATTAGAAAAGATAGTATTCAGTCATCAAACCTAGATTTCAATTACTTTATAAAAGGAAAAAAAACCACTCATTATAGAAAAACTATGATGTGCTGTAATTAAAACCCCCAGTCATTCAGCATTACTACAGGGCAGGTTTATTCAACTGACTGTTCAAAATTTTAAAAAGTTTTCATTTGTAATTTTTAAAATATCAAATAAATAATTTTTAATTATCGGTCAATGGTATAGTGTTTCCATCTTAACACAGTTTATTATTATATATATCAGTGCCAATAAGTACCCTCTTGAATACGCCTTGGAAGCTGGGGGAAAGTGTTTGAGAGTTATGTGACGTTTAATAGACACCCAAAACAGGTTGCACGGTGATGCACTCCTGTAAATATGCAAAATGCAGAGCTGCAAATCTTCCTTTTAACTATGAATATTTCTGTTTACATCTTCATTCACAGCAGTCTGAAACTACATTCAATTCCCTCCTTTTCAGTACTTTCAGGAGAACAGAACATAGCATTACAGAAAAAAATTCACTGAAAGCATTTAAAAGGTGTCAAATTTGTTAGCTGTCAAACTTGCAGTAAATCTCCATTGAGAGCATAACAAATGTCCCAGAGCCCTTGCTTTAAGATAGTCTAGCCTGTGCATGAAAGCTCTTATTCACCTCAAAATGGAAGGAGGAATACATCACAGCTCTGGAGAAGTTATAATCTCAATTCATGGCAGAACTTTTTTTCCTTCCCATCAAAAATAGTTAACTTGGGGTCAGAAATGAATGCAGGCTTCAACCAGTTTTTCTACCACTTCAAATATAATATCCACTCACCTGAAATAAAGACACCTATCTATTTTGAAGGTTATATAGTTGATAAAAGGTTGCATAGTTAATTCCTCTACTGATATTAAACAGACAGTTTATAACTAGCAAAAAGATTTAAAGAATGACAAAGAATATGTCAACTGCACCACAAAAATCTTATTGCCTGAAAGACCGCCCCATCGGTGGGGGAGTAAGAAGGAAGGAGAGGGAATAAAATCCAACAACAGGTCATGTATGTTCTTGCAAAATTTTTAAATATACCCTACCTCCTCCCCAAAAACCTTATGGAAAGGCTTCTGAAATAACTATTTCTAAATCTACATAGGATTTATAACTTCACTTTCCATCACTTCCTCACAAGAAAAACTGTCATGTTTTCTTAGGTAATCAGGAAGATGCTTGAAATCTTAGAAATCTTAACACATTTTTAAAAGATCTGGCTGCATCTTATTTATCTCAGGTATACTTTCTGTTTAGATCTCCCAGTAATTCCCTTGAAGAAATACAGTACATATATTTTTTATTTTTTACATAAGCTATTTTTCAACCCAGTTTATACTTTTTATTACAGATAAAGTTATGAATCCTTTCTAAGATACCCACTTTGTATGTACATGTAATTTGCCCACATAGGCAGACATATCCACACAAAGATATAAAAGTTTGTCGCGGGTGTAATGTCAGTCACCCTTCGATGGCTATTATGTATTGCTACTGCTTATTGCTAATCAGCAATAGAGATGCTAAAACAAAACCTTCCTCAAGGTTCAAAAGTTCCAGGACTTTTGCTTCCTAGGGTTTAAGACCAAGAGATCACAGCCTGCTTATCCTATTGTGCATAGCTTTGATAGGTGTTCCTTAAATGGCTCCTACTTGTTTTGAATAAGATAGGCAATGGGTTGTCTATTCATACCATAAAAAGCTAACTGTAGGAAACCAATGTTTTCAAAGAACAGTGGAAAGATCGATACTGCGGAATCCTTATCTGAGC